TCTCTCTCTCTCTCTCTCTCTCTCTCTCTCTCTCTCTCTCTCTCTTTTGGTAGAAAGCATTCAAACAGTGCAGGAGGAAAGAAGCTTTGAAATAACAACAACAACAACTTGAAATGGTTCAAATGGCTTCTTTTTGTTGCCTGTTTTCGCTTGGCATATTTTTTCTTACATAGGAGGTTGAAAGTTTACAAATATTTTTGTAATCTAGAACTCTTTTAGCCCCAAGAGAAGAAAAGAGATTGCAATATTAATTATCTTATTTCATATAGGATTTTAAAAGTGTTTATATATTACCATACTGCTTAAGGAAGCTGACAACATAATAAATATGTTGAACTGTATACATAGTTGTATTTCAAATAAAATACAACATTAATAGAAGCCTTCTTCTCTTTCTACCATGTAAGTGGGCATGTTTTGGAGAGGTTTATGCTTTCCAATGGATAAATATAGATGAAACTCTCTAAGTAATTTCAACTGGGCAAATAATTCAATGAGGGGCTTTGCATCACTCTGGAATACATAAAAAGCACCTGTCTTCATGCCACGGAATCTGCTTTTTCAGCTGTTTCTGTATGTGTTTATTCACATAGCTATTTGACATGCATGTATGCGCACAGCCATTTAGCTTCATGTTTATTCCAGTGTCTAGAAAATGATGCAGCAGCTTTAATGATTCAAGGAGAAGTGCTTTTTATAAAGTGCATTTTGCAAGGAACATCTTGATAAGAATTACACAGCTTTGTTAATAATTCATCATATTAACCACAAATGTTCTATTTTGGAGAACAGTAACCACAAACCCTTATCAGAAATATGATCTGCACTATTTTGAGTACCCTTCCTCTCTTCTGTTATTCTACTTTTTAAAAAAAAACCTTGAAAATATTGTTTTGTTAATCTTTCTGAGCAAGTAGCAGCTATTGATTTTCAGTAGAAAACTAGTGATGCCACCTATCTATATAGAGGTGATAAAATTTCTCCTTGCTGTTCCAATTTTCTGAAGTGGGAAGGATTTAGATTGATATATGTATGTATGTATGTATGTATGTATGTATCTATGTATGTATCTATGTATGTATGTATGTATGTATGTATGTGTATATATATATATATATATATANTATATATATATATATATATATATATATATACATACACATACACACACATACATACATACATACATACATATACATTCATACATACAGCTTGGAAAGAGAAATGGGATTTGGAAACATGGCTATTTTTTAATGGGTATGTGTTTTTCAATGACTGATTATTTGATTTTGATTTGGGATATGTATGTTAACGATAATTTCTGTTGTCTGATTTTATTCTTCTCTATGTTATTCTAATATCTGATTTGATTTTTTTTTAGGCCTGTTATGGACGAAATAGCAACGGAACCTTTAAAATATGCAGAACAGCTTCCAGTAGCACAAATAATACACCAGGTATCACTTTGTTTATTGATATTTCGGTCAAGAATAAGTAAGGCTTCAGTCTTATAAATGAAATGCTTGTATTCACAAATCGTATGGAAGCAGAGATCTCCATTTAGGAAATGCCATTATTTAGAGTACTGAAAAGAAAGAAATAAAAAATCCCGAATGCCCCTACTAAAATTTTCCTTATGAAGTACCAAGGGAAACCTCTAGCTAATTGATTTCAAACATTTAATTAATAAATGTTTATGGTACAAAGTAGAGTTAGCACGAGTTACGGCTGTGAAAGAATACAGATCTGACTTTTTAATAAAGGTGAAGAAGGCAATGAAACATTAAGGGAGGAGAAATGATAACTCACTATTAAGAAAGTGGAAAGCACGAGAAATTAAAAATAACCCCACTTTGATTTTTTTTGATATAAAGAGAACAGAGAGAAACTGACAGATTTCAAGATTCTGTTATCATATTGTACAGAAATAAAGAACATTCATGAAACTGTTTCTTGACCTTGTCTATCTCAAAAGCTGTGGCATGCCTCATCAGGCATGAGAAGCACAATGCATGCTCTTAATAGGCACATAGTCACGACTGCCTCTTTAGTAGTGCTGTTCTCTGCTTCTTTAGATTAAGAACAGAGTCACACAAAGGACAGTCTCAGCAACATCTGTGAGTCAAAACACCACGAAAAACAGAAATAAACTAGCATCATCAAGAAAATATTGGGTTTTTTTGTTATAATGATTTAATTAAATGTTTTACAAAATGTACAAATAAAAACTAACATAAACTAACAATCAGAAAGAAAGATAACAAAGAAAGAGAGATAAATGAAAGGGGGACAAAAAGTCATACAAAAAAATGATTTATAACTTCTTTCTTCAAGGATAGAAGAAAAAACTTACATTCAACTTTATTAGTTTAACACTATAATATAGTGTTCATTTTCCCCAAATAAAAATAATAATTGTCAAATCCATATGTCATAATTTTTATTTTTTTCATTTTCTGCAAAAAGTCCACAAAAAGCTTCCAGTTGTGGATAAATTTCTTTTCTCTCACAAGAGTTGTTAATTTAACCATTGTTAACAAAACCTCAATGTTGATGACTTTCTATGCACGGGCATATAGTATATATAGCATACTATTATTAATATTGAGTTAAAAAGACCTACAATAAAACCTCAATTAAGAATAACTTGAAAACTGCCCATGAAGATAGAATTAGCCACACTTGTTTCATGCTTATTTGGCTTGCTGATTTTGCTAATACACAATTTGTTTCTTCGATTATAATTTACATTAAGGAGAAAGATTTCCATCTTACTTTGTAAGACAAATCTCAACAAATACTATGAAAAACAGATGTACTTATACTTAAAATATTTATTGCCCTTTATCAGAATGGAACTCTGAGCAACGAAAGTTATTTAGAGCCTATATAGCACAATGGAATTAAACTGGTATCAGAGCACAGCCATAAAATACAGCATATAAAAGTTACGAGGCAGACTTGATGAATTATACAAATTATAATGATTGCTTAAACAGAAACACAATCTGACCACATGGTGATCACATCATATTCAAGAGGCAGAGCTTTGGATTCAAAACCTGGATTTCAAAGAAATGGAAAGAAAAGCATTGGGAAAAAACATAAAATAATATTAATAAATTAATTCTTACATTTATGAACTTCTGGCCACCCACGTGATGCCAGGATTACATCTAAACAACAATAAAAACAAAGTTATAACATATTCAACCATATCTACAGTAGGATCAGTTATAGGAACATCTGCAAAAGATAGTAAAAAATATTAAATTGAGGACCATACAATTGATGCCCTGTTCCTTTTTGTGTTGGTATTGTAGAAAACATATTTAATAAAAGGAAGAGTTTTTATCACACATTATCCTTGACATCTAAACTTTTTAGCCTCTCCCCCCCCCCCCCAACATTCCTGGTCACTGTTCAGGCAATCTGTGTCTATCTGTCTTGGTCACTTCTACTAAAAAAAATGGAATATCTTTAAAATAATTCTAACTGAAATGTAAGTATTGTACAACACAGGGGTCAGCAATCCATGGCTTTGGAGCCAAATGTGCTCTTTCATCCCTATGCTGAGGCTTCCTATTGCTTAAAATATATGTCACAACCATCAATGTGCGACACCTGGTGGCACACAATTTATTGAGCTTTTCGACGGTTGATAGGCCGATATATGCAGTGTTATCTTCATTTTAGATGTCAAAAGAGTTTTGTGTTTTCTTTTCTGTAGGAAACAGGTCTAAATGGCTCTTTGAGTGTTTAAGGATGTCGACCTCTGGTCTAACAGCACATCCTGGCTCCTTTCAGCACAATTGTTACCAGACGTTTATGTGTAACTTTCCTATTCCAGCTTTAACCATATTTAATAGATGGCAAGCTAGCCAGATTCTGTCAACTAAAAATGACCTATTATCTACAACTGCTGTGGTCTTCAGATTCAGTTGCCTTTCAACAAGGGCAGACAGGAGAATAAATGGAAGTTTGCTAAGTGGCAAAATTGCTGGCAATATCCCCTGGATATTAATTATTCTTAAGTCTGTTTCCAGGCATCTTTTTCAGTCAGGTTGCTTGAATTTTCTTGCTGGAGGCAATGGTAGCTTTACCTGAAAAGAAACACAAGGTTTATTTTCAATCTTTGAAGTATACTGGTCTTCCTTGCAAGATTTCAAACCTAAAGGAAATTTAATACTTTAGGCTCAATTGGGCCCCTCTGGGAAGAATATCTGATGTGTTTTTGAACACGGAAGATTAGAAATCAGGACCAGTTTATATGTCAGGATTTCCCTTGGTGCTGTCAGAGCCTCAAATGACCCTGCAACCCGCAGATGTCACATTTCAAATTCTCTGTTCATGCCTGACTCTAAGCATAAATGAATTAAACAGCAGAGTAGGCAGTAAGTCAATATATTCTTAACTGTGAGACTGAGCAATGAAACAGTTGAGGATTGTTTGGAATAGGTAAATAGAAACTGCACCAAATGGTTCACCTACAGGAATAACTATGATGGGAAACAGAATTAACCTTTAAGATGGTTGACCAGATGAAATGTCACAGTAATATTTTTACAGCGCAAAAAAGTAATATAACACCGGTGGGTTCATTTTGGCAGCTTTGTGCCATTTTGCAGTGGATTGCGTTGCTGAGTGAAATGAGAAATGGGTTTTTTCATGCATTCGGGATATTTCAAACAGCAAATGTTCATATTATGTAATTCTTTGGCAAATCATCCTACCAAAGCAATTACCCGACTGGCTCTTTCTAGTGTTGCATTTGTGGCCTTTTTGAATGTCCCACTTTCAATTCAGATTTTGGACATCAACTCTGAATAAGAAAGAAACAGGTTTTACTTTAGGTCACACACTGTAATTTAACTGAAACATTTTGTGGCATAAATTTATATAAAATATAAATATAAAATCCATTTCCATTAAAAGATTTACTATGTACTTCACTGTACTGGATTACCTTCCACCAGAATGATTTGGCAGCCAGATGTATATTGAAAACATTATAAATGTCATTACATTAAGAGTAGTTCTCACATAGGTTTTGTTTTGAAATTTATCATATACATGAGGGAGCAGAACACAAAGTTATAGAAAGGTTTTTTTTAAAGAAAACATAAACCCCTTAAAGTAGGCATTATTGTGACATTTCAACTATTGAACTCTACTGTAATATATCATTTCCTTAACCAAAAAGTTTATTTTTAAAATAGCTTATTTTCCTATGCTTTTAAAAATATAAATAAGAAAAATTGGTGTTGATTTCTGCATGAATTGGTAAAGGAATATTTGCAAAATAATGATTGATTTTTTTTATTCATATAATAAGTATAAAAGAGTTTGGTACTTCCTATATTATAATATCAGCCAAGATTTACACAGATATATAGTGAATTGGCAGCCAGATGTATGTTGAAACCATTATTAAAGTCATTATGTTAAGAGTACTTCTCACATAGGTATTGTTTTGAAATTTAGCATATAAATGTGGGAACAGAATACAAACTAAACTGCTAGCTTTAGAAAACAATCTAACAATTTAGCTTCCATTTTGGACACAACTTACACAATTCTAAATTTCAAACTTTTTCACAAAAAAACTGATACAGAAAGAAGCAAATTCAAAGTTTCCAAATTTTGCATAGTTTTTAATGGATTTACTATATTGCTTTAAAATTTGATGACAACTGCAAATATCCTTTGTTTAGGAAAAGACGTTCTGATTAAGTGGTTCACAGCTGGTTTATTTGCTCCATTACAGTATGAATTTCTGGCAAACTTCAGTGGGGCGCATCCCTAGTTTACCTGGAAGCTAGAATAATGGCATTCTTTGTAGAGGTTGCTCTCTAGTGGATTTTAGAGATAGTGCCTCTTGATTGAATTTTAGATTGCATCCTTCAAAGAAATGATGGAATCAAATGGCCTTTATGGGTGTAATAAGGTACAACAAGTTTTGGTCTATGTTCTTCCAGATTGTTGGGTAATGAAAGGAGTGTGTAGAGATTGGCGCCCAATTATAATTTGCCTTTGGATGCAGGGAACTGATTTGTCAAGTGCTGGGGAAATCAGAAGATTCAGCCAGTTCAAATGAGTATAAAGATTCATTGCAAACTTAAGCTATCTATAAGAATCTGAACTACTAACGGTCAATGAAAACAGACAGTAGATAAGGGTAGAAGGAATTCAAAGTGGGCTGGACTTAGATCTCTTGTAGATGCAAAGGGACTCATGATTAATGATGTGTTTGACCCCTTCCCTTGGGCTCAGTCTGGTAACCTACACTGAGGAAGCCAGGAAAGTGGATGGGTTGGACAACAAGGAAGGTAACTGCAATTGCCCCTCCTTAAACCTGGTATTCTCAATATATGCCTAATGTGATTCTGACAATCACTAATTGTTTAAAATGATTGAAATGGAAATAAGGATTTAATTGATTTAATTGAATAAAACA